CCTCCTACGAGCCCGGGACAGGCGTCCTTGGTGTCCGCGGGGAGCTTGGGAGGAGGTCGACGAACTTCCGTTCATCGATCCCCTCCCCGTTCTATGGGCCCGGGAGCGATGCAGATTGCATCACTTCCGGTCCCTGGGCTGTCAGTTCTGGGCTCCTGCAGCCCAGTTATAAGCTATTGAAGTGCGATCTGGGGTCTTTTGGACCCTCAGCATCACCTTAAAGAGTACCTGTCACCACCATCTGCTATCACCTGGGGGGCTTGTAAGCCTCCCCAGGTGATACCAGTCAAAGTAAAGTAAAAAAAAAACAGTTTTTAAAATCGAATAAATCTAATAATAATAACAAAAAATTTAAAAGTCCCCCGTCGCCACGTAAACACGCGTAGGGCGCGCCTACGTATGAAAACGACGAACAACGCTACATATGTTGGGTATCGCCGCGCATGCTGGAGTGAGAGCAATAATTCTAGGGCCAGTATTTTGGGGTATCTCTAAATTGATGACCTGTGGGGACTTTTAAAGCGTCTTCTGTGGACTTTTTGGGGTACTGCAGTTTTTCGCCGTTTCACGGACGCACGCAATTTGTAAACTGGGCATGTTGGGTATCATTTTACTCGTTCTCATCTTTTATATTTCATTTAAAAAATTGGTATTTTGTTGTGTTTTGGGGCATTTAATTAAATTTATCACTAAATTTTGGGGTTTAATAAGGAGTTGCGCTAATATTGCGCAACATAAAAATTTGCAACTACCACCATTATATTGTATAGGGTCTTGGCATTGAGAAAATATATAATGTGTGGGGGTTTTAAGTAATTTTCAGGCCTAAAATGTGGAATATAACATGGGTGCAAAAAATGGGGAAAAAGGCCTCAGTCATGAAGGGGTTAATAGTACTGTTCATGGAGCTAGAGTTCTGTTGATTGAAGCAGTGTGCAGGGTGCATGTCTGACTGCTGGAGACCTGGCCTGCTGCTTCTTGAGTCTGAGCAGCTTTTCAACTTTCCAACATGCTGTCAGCACAGGGTGTCTTAACCCTTACTGCAGCACTTTGTGTTAAAAAAAAGAGACCAGCATGTGTATTACAGCAATAAATAAGGTTCCCTTTAAATTTCTAAGTTCACAATATCACTATACTAGTATACTAAATCATTACCTATGCCTGTCATAATATACTTAAATGCCTATATAAAATTTTAGAGGGAGTGGAATAGTTTGATCACCATTCAGGGATGTATTGGTGTGTCTCTATTAGAGATTTATCCTGTGTGGTTTCCAGGGCAGGAAGTGATCTAGACGCTCTAACAACTTTTTATGTTACTGTACTTTTCTGTGTGGTATTAACCACAACGGCAGATGCATTTGGCTAGACTTGTATGTATGGAGGACTCCTTTCTGAGCTTGTTTTTACTTAGCAATCTTGAAGTGATTTTACTATGTGTGTGCATTCCCTCCTTTTTTATTCTACCCTGTGACTAAGTGAGTGTATGTGTCGGAAGCTGGGCATTGTTATGCCATAGCTACCATTTGAATCTTCCAGCTGCATCTTTGTGCCAGGCTATTCATGACGCAGCACTCTTCGCTGGTGTCAATGCTATGGCGTGTTTTTGGTATTAACCTGCAGTGATTCGGTGCTTACTTGCTTTGGCCAGAGAGCAAGAAGTGCTTCCTTTCATGGAAAATACCATACCAGCACAGGCCTTTCTCTACCAGCAGTACAGCCCTTAGGGGTTTTACTGCCACCTTTAGATCTGTTATCACAGCTATACCCCTATGTGCATCCTTATCTCCATCTTAATTTTGGTCTGGAGTATTCTTGGGGGAGTCAAGTTATTTCTGGTATTGGAACTGCTATTTTATGATGCCTGGCACTAAATGTAAGCGTTGCTGCCCTGCAGCACCGTGTGTACTGCCTAACCAGCCCCCC